AGCGAAATAATTTTTAATCAAAAGCAGAGTTTTCGGCTTTTCCGTAAATACGCTTAGTCTATCAACACACGGCAATATGCTAATTAGTATAAACTCTCACGAAAATATTTAGATTTTGATGGCGTTTTATAAAGCGCTCTCGAAAAAAGCCGAACCAATCATTACATTTCTTGGAAGAAGAGCACTTGGGTACTCAACCGTAAGATGAACCCGATTGGGGAATGGCCACATATGAAAATTTCGGAATGTAACTACAGTCGAACTTCGATTATCCGGACTCGTCGGGACCTCGGTAAATAATCCGGATAATTGAGAGTCCGGATAATCGAAAATATGAATATTCATGAGATAGAAATGTAAACAAAAGTATACAGCAAAGAAAACATCATTTTAATTGTGAAATATACACAGTCTGTATGTATTTACACTGAATAAAAACTTTCAGTTCAGTTATTTACAAAGGTCTAAAATGTTCAACCACGTTTGTTTGCTTCAAAGACTTGTAGCTTGGTCGCATTAACTGCACAGGATCAATATCGTTTTATTTATTTATTTAAGGATTTGTACAAAGTACTAGTATAAAAACAATGGGACATGAGTCCCCTACTAGGTTTAAATACCAACCCAACCCCCTTAAACTAAGCGTCCTATCCCCTCTATCCCCTAAATCTAATACACTTACACAAAAAGAAGACAATAACTAGAATCTAACAGCTACAAACCGAGTGGGTAATTATCCGACGACATTTAGGACACATTATTTATGTATATTTTGTTAGGGATAAAGTTAGGCACTTTTTAAAACCAATAAAATAAGCCAGTCGGTTGTTAAGATGTTGTGATCTCTGTATTTGGTTGGTAAAAAATAATTACGCAGTGTTCTTTAGTTGGATTCGAGAAATATAATTCGAATTACGTTTAGAAAAGTTCTTTCGCGTGTGTGACAAAACAATGTCACTGATCATGATACGATCGTCAAAACAAGTAAGTATCCTTACTACATCTATAAAGAAAAAATTAGACATAGCAATGACTGCCCTAACGATAGTGATAGGTACAGTAACGAAAATAATATGAGTTTCCTTGTTATGTAGTTGTTATTTAGTATATAAAACCCAGCTGAATAGCGCTTCTTGTGTGTGCTGATTGGCTAGTAGTCCGGAAGTGACTAGCAAGCACTATTCACCTCTAAGCAGTTGAATGGGTAGGAGTCAAGAGTTTAATTTCCACCCATTTTTCGGTATATTGATAGAATTCAACTACATCTTTGATTTCTTTGGGGTTTATACTAAAGCAACTATTTACCTCAGTGTGAGTGAAATTAGTGGATATTTGTCACCACTTCAATGATTAATTGTTAACTTTTAAAAAGAAGTTGTTCACAGATATATTGTATCATAAGGCCACGAAAGATATCTCATTTGTATAGCAACTAATTGCATATTATTTAGGCATCGCGTGGAGCTAACAAGGTAATGCCTCTGACAAAAGGAACTTCAGCATTGAAAGAAAAACCCTTAAGTGAGGTAAGATATTACTGGGGTTAGCCTACCTATAAAAGTGATATCTCGAAACCCGGACCTAAAGCTATTGCTGAATAATAAGAAAACCAAAGTTAGCTAAACATTCGTAGAAAAGCTCTACCTTCGTCTTTATGTGGGTGTTCTGGTCGTAAGGAAGGATACCAGCTGGAGATTGAATACTAATTAGGCTCTGAGTAACTCTTCGGAAACGATACTGACAATTTAAAAGGTCATAGATTATAGGAAGCTCCGCTCGATAGGGGTTAAGGATATCAGAAGGTTACGTAAAGAGAGTGAGTAAAAACTACAATTTTTTAAATTTCAAACATGACGTCCGTGGGTTTTTAGGGGATTTGGTTCTCAGTTTTGTACTTTTATACTTATGTATCGGGGAAATAATCCTAGAAAGTTAAATTACTCTACTGACAACTTCGCTTTTGTCTTGCAGACGGAATTGGAAGGTAAGAGACGTCAACATGAAGAAAATGAAGGGATAGAAAGGACCGAGCGGAAAAAAGAGACTAATAAGTTGAGTAGTCCTCAAGAACGACACAATTACGGAGGTAATCGCTATCTTTAAGCCTTATGCCTCCTGTCAAGAATCACGTTTCAAGGAGATCTAGAGATTTTAACGTTCATTATTTGTAAGAACGGATTGATACGTCCGCAAATTATTTGAAACTACATAGGATAACAAGATTAAAAAACTAGCAAACTATCCTCAGGGGTATGAGATATAGCGACACTATTTTGGCACTCCCCCACTTGGGTACAGAAAATGCGCTGCCTAAAAGTGAAAATGTTGGAATGAAAGAAACTGATAAATGGTAAATTTCTTATTAATATTAGTTCAAGGACTTTCAGGACAAATTATGTATAATGATGAAACCAATTTGCTTTTCATTTGTTTGTTTGGTAGAGGGAGAAAAATTGGTGACTCCGCAGAGGAAAGCTAAGGGCTCTCGTTTGATTTGCTTGAATTCAAGCCACGAAAAAGCGGCCCTAGTTAAGGCAAGGAAAAGCCCTCAAAACAAGAGATTATGAACTGATAATCTTTTGTCCAGAACTAATACTGTCATGAAAAAATGATGATAATGGTTGTTTTTTCGGACCTCTGGATCTTTCTTACCAGTCCTTATGTATCCGCAAGAACTACTGCTTTTAGCCAGTGCTTTGTTTGTCTGTTTCCTTTTTATTTTGTTTGAAAATGAGAAACAAGCAAACAAAAAGTGATGAAGAGCAAAAGAAAGCGAAAGAAATCATGTCTAACCATACGTGCCATTACACTTAAACTTGATGAGCTTGCCGAGTAGAGAGTTTTTGCGACCCTGACTGGAACATATTGTCTTGTTGAATTGTCAGTTGTTATTAACTTGTCTTTGTATATTATTATTGCAGCCGTGAGTCCTTGTTACCGGGCAGGCTTTGTATTCCTGGAGACGCGTTTGCTTCATGGCGAGATTTCATACAGAAAGTGGCACATTGTAAAGCGGAAGGATCAATGGAAGCCTTCTGAGACTCATTTATCGGATCTGAGGGCAAAACAGTTTACTGAACCCAGTTCGGTGCGGTTTTTTGCAACAGGCAACGGTGGTATTAACTTCCTAGTATTACCCACAACTTGGTGGCGCAGATGTATAGATTGCTTTAGGATGTGTTGTTCTTGTGGTTGCATTCATGACGATTAAGAGCAGTAATAAATTTGCAGACCTTCGGCATATTGTCAATCAAGAAATCTATCAGTTGTCGCCAAATGCTCTCAATTATAAGCAACAATTTGCGAGAGCAACTTGCAGTTCCAAACTTTTTTATTCTAGAGTGAAACATAAAAGAAAAGAAACAATTTTTGTCGCCTGCGATTGTACTGTTGACCGTGTGACTAACACATCTGACATCAATCAGTAACCATTTTTCCTATGTGCTTAGCCTTTACAAAGGGAAGTGTCATGACAGATATGAAAGAAAACGATTAAAGGTTGCAACTATTCATTGAACTATAGAATAGCAATACCTCTAGTAGTGAAAATGATAATATGACTATGTAAGCTCTGCGATTTTATTGTAATGTGTTTTGTTTCACAGAGGGAGTCTTTCAATGAAAATCCTCCAGCTGATGGGTTTCTCCCGAACCAACTCGTCTTGTCTAAGTTGACACTTTGTAAATCTGGTCGAAAAATCTGGCAATAAACCATTAACAGTTATCATGATAAGGACTACAACTGTTTTTTTTTTCCTGTTACAAAGCGCCATAAACAGATTGCAACAAAATTTGACAACTGCTTGGAGCAATCCATAACAGCTTACGTAAATCCCGGAACAAAATACCTTTACATCTAAAGGATTATCAGACCATTGACTCTAGTCATTAGAAGGGCTTTCCGTAAAAACCAAAGAATTGTGGAAGTATCCTAGATTGTACACTTTTAACAAAACTATTCCCATTAATTACATGAAACTGAGCAAGTCCAAAAAAGTGCAAGCAACAAAACAGACTGATGACAACTCCAATTAAATACCCTCAGTCTGTACCCTAAAGACTTGTGACTGACTTTCTGATGAGATGTGTTTATGATCCTCGGTAAAACGGAGCCGGCTCAGGCTAACAGAATCACTGTCAACACTCAATTCCTAAAGGTGAGGTTCAGCGACCGCCACGTACAATACGGTCGGCCTGAGTCTGCATTGCGTGACAAAATAAATCAAATTTAATATCACAAGACTAACATTTCCCGGAAATCTGCTATGCGCAGATTCATCAACTTGAAACAAACAACGTTCGCTGATAACTGAGAACTGAGCTCTGGGCGAAGGAATAGTTCAAAACATTGTCCCACAATGGCGGATAAGTCGAATAAGACCATTTTTCTTTTTAATTGCGATAACACCTACAAGCTAGAGGTGGTTGAGGCGTTCTTGATGGAAATGAATAAGAAACATGGCTTGAACTTCGCGATTGGGAAGCATAACTTTAGATTGCAACAAATGGCTGATATCTGTGAGAACGAAATTCCTCAAATTCAGATGGATTGTGCTATTTTTGTTCTACGTGCAGGGGAGTCGCGTCTCTCGATCAACGAAGATAATGCAGGGATTGGCTACGCAAAGATCTACAGAGCTTTATTAGAGGCCACAAGTAAGTTAAATGACAAAAAAGTTTTATTTAACGAACATGAATGGCATTAGAACTAAACATCAGACAGAGAAAACGTTTTTTCTCATGTTATTAAGTGTAAAAGGCGGGATTAATTCGAATGGTAAAAGGTGATATGAGCAAATATATCACTCTCCCTTTAGAGTCGTCGTCACACACCACAGAGCGGAAGCAGGTTAGTGTTTTGTTTTTTTTAATTGATCGATTTATCCCGTGAAAAAGAAATGACATGTCCATGGTACAACATTCGTACGATATGCGAGTCTCGCTTCTCTAGTAATGAAGATAATGCGGGGATTGGCCACGCGAAGATGCACAGGGCTTTGTTGAAAGCTACAGGTTCGCGAAGTGAAACACTGTTTTATTTGACGGGCAAGACTAATCAACAGAGAGAAAAATTATTTATCATGTTAATAAGTGTTAAAGACGAGAACACTTCGTTTGGAGAGAGCAATGATCGAAATCAAGGGGAATAATTGAGCAAGATTGCGCTTTATCTGAAGAATCTCGAAAGGTGAACGAACATGTGTGATTTCTCGGAAAAGGGCGGAAATCCATAATTCCAATTTCATTTGTCATAACTTCTAATAAAGAATAAATAAAAACATGTCAACGTATTTGTTCTAATAAAGTCAATATGTATCATGCGATAGGTAAGTCTTCTTAAGAGCCACTGACCATGAATATCGATATATTTAAGGTAACATATTGAAAAAGAGTTCGGGCTAAAAATTGACAAAAATGTAATGCGATCCGTTGAACGACTGTCACGCAAGAGGTCAAGGCCAATCTTTCAGCTTATCCAGGAATTCACCAAATACATGACCACTTGCGTGACAGCCGTTCAACGGATCGCATCACATTTTTTGGTATTTTTGCCCGAAATCTTTTCAAGCTGGACGCGCCGCTTATGGCGGGCCAAGAAAGAAACTTAGAGGAATTAAATTAAAAGGATAAAGCTTTAAGATGATATATATTTTGATTTGCAAATATGTCATACAAGACCTTTTTAAAGGCCTCTCACAGTGGGTCATGACAGCTTTTCAGCGGTTCGCATTGCATTTTTGACAAAGTAGCCCAAGCTCTTTTAAACCTGGACGTGCTGCTTATGGCGGGCCAATATAGAGGATTGGAGGAATCAAAATAAAAGGATAAAGCTTTAAGATGATATATATTATGATTTTTAAGTATATATGGCAGACCTGTTCATAGGCCACTGAAGTTGACCTTTATTTTACCTCCGCGAAAGAGACGCGAAGTACTTTATTTCAACGAGTTTTTTTATTCAGACTTGAACGTAACAACGTATCAAGAAATTAATATTTTCCAAGAGATGAAAGGACCATCTACTAGCACTG